AATTATATATTTCTCTATTAATACAAAATCTCTCCTACAATCGATTTTTGCGCTCTCTATATAATTTATTTCTTTCACTCCAATTTAATTCAACACAGCATTTGTACACTTTATTTCCAATAATTGTATGAATTAACTATTCAAAAATTTTAACAATACATTTTTTTTTTAAAACCAAATTTCATATCATAGTATTTCTAAAATTAGCACCACATTTTTATCAACACCTCCATAAATATAAACACTAACCACACTATAATTTTTCCCATATGTTTAGATCGCATTCACCGCTTAAAATATCTTATTAATGTAACACTATGAATTTCCGGTCACGGCACCATTGTCAAAACTATATACTATATAAACACTATTTTATAACTCACACAAATTTACCAACACAACTTTAAAGCTAAAATTAATAAATAAATTTTATTATCCAAAAAAATATATATCTACTAAAAAATAAAAAAACAAATAGTTGTTATTATTATAAAATCTCGTCTCTTTTATACTTTTTTGGGACAAAGAAATCACGAGTTCTACACGTGATATATAAAATCAGTCGAAGATTTATAAATTAGATAAATATTAAACATAATGATTACTAAAAATATATTTTACCCAATAATGTTATAACACTAACCAAAAAGGTGCTCATTATCAACAGGAGGAGCTTTTATCTAAGTAATAAAGCAATTTCTAAAGTGTTATTTCCTTTTAGAACATTTAATATAAAAATATATATCATATTAACATACATTATGAGTTAAAAAAAATTTTTAACGTATGGAAGATAAAAATAATGTCACTTAGTGAAATTGACAAAAAAATAATTTATGATTGGCAAAAGCTTTAATCAGGGATTCGAACCGAACCCGGAGAAGAAACCCGGGTTTTAGGGAAAAAATTTGAACCCGAACATGAACCCCGTTTTTAAAATTTCCAATACCCCGAGCCGAACCCGTGAGTAACTTTGGTTCAACCGGGTTTAGTGTATTGTTTAAAATTATATATTAAGATATTTGTATAATTGTAAATACAAATATTATTATTTAATTGAGATTTATAATATTTTCAAATTTCCAATTAAGTGGAGTGTTTATAAATTTTAAACAATTAAATTCATTTATGCCCATAAAGCGTAGCCAGGATTTTCCTAAGGGAGGTTGGAATTAAAAAATTCCTGGGGGCTTCGCCCCCAGATTTCATTATGGGCGGGCCTTCGGCGGAGTCTATATATAGTCATAAGATATTTTTACAAGATAGGAGGTTAATTTTAATAAATAAAATAAGCCTAGAGAAATATATTTTTATTAGTTTATATAAAATATAATAAATTACTTGTATAATAATTTATTCCAAACAGGTATAAGAAATTTATTTATAAAAAGTAAGTAGACATATAGTTGATATTCCTCTATAATATTGAATTGGTTACAAAATACTAGGTAAAATTCCACTTATACAGAAATATTTGACGTTGGAGAATATATTACAGTTACTATTTTACAAATTTTACTAATCAATGCTCTTGATAATAAATATAGCAACAATTTGCATTCATTTATTTAACGCCATCTATTTAAACAATAGATGATAATAAAAATTAATCTTATATTATTCATCCTTTCTGATGTCCTTATCAATATTGTAAAATATAAAATTCGCTATATTGGTAAAAATTATTTGATTGTCATATGATAATTTATAAAATTAGATATACTGTAATTCTACGACATATAATATTCCACTGTTTGTATTGTATTGTACTTTAATTTTTTTATTTAATTTATGATTTAATATCAATAGTTTTATAATTATATTTTACTTTTATTAGGATAAATAATTTAAAATTACTCAATTTATAAAAAATTATATTTTATATATTATATTATTTAGTAATTTTATAGATCTATTATTATAATTATAATACACTTCACTTTTGTCTTCAGACTTATCTTTGGCTTATATTCCATTTTTTTTAAAACATTTTTGGTTCATTTTTTTATATATAAATGCTTTTTTCCAAAATTTTATAAATTATGATGAATAGTTTTAGTTTAAAAAAATATCAACTTTTACATTTTTCCATTTATTGTTTTAAATATATGCATACATTTTTGGGAGTCAGGGAGTGGGGTGAGGTCTAAGGGGATATTTTTTATTAGCTTAAAATGATGTTCACAAAAAGTGATAAATTTATGGGAAGGGGGAATTTCCCCTTTCCCCCTCCCCCTGGTTACGCCTATGTTTATGTCATTTATTTTTAATTTTTCACTTATTCTCAATGATTATTAATTAGAGGAAAATGAAAGTGAACAAGTCAAAGTAAAAATTATATTGGATATTGTTAATTTAAAGAAATATGTCATTGAATTTTTAAAATTGATACATGACAGCTTTGTATTTTTAACTATATTTTGCCTATAAATAAAATAAAAAATTTATATTTTATACCAAATTTATGTCAAATATTTTAATTATGATTTAAATATAGATTTTTTAATCAATCAAAAATTCTTAAGCCCGAGCTGAACCCGGAACCAAAACCGGGTTAAAATATTTTCCTGCCGCCCGAACCCGAACCTAACCCACCTATTTTATTGTATCTTAAACCGAAACTTCCCTGGCTTTAATATTAACTCAAACATCCTAATTGTTCCCATTATTAATGTTAATATATTCCATTTACTGAGTATTATTATTTCTTTTATTTTACATTCTCCATTAACTTAATTCTTTTAGTATTTTATAAACACTTCGAACGATTAACTGAAAAATTGTTTACGTTTATAAATGATTGTTTTATTATTTTATATTAACAAATTATATAAATATCATATATAAAGGGTTGTAAACAGAAACAAAGATAGCAAAAATGTGATGCTCAATTATTATAATATTTGAATTAAATTTTCCATCATATAAAACTTATACATATATCAGTCTATTCACACTTATATTTCAATTAATATTTAGCAAAATTTATTTTTAATTTTAAAAAAATATATAATTAATATAAATTATTATATTAATCATAATAATAATTTGAATATTTAAAAATACAATAATAATCAAAATAATAATTAGAATATTTAATATAAAATTAATTAAATAAAATATAATAATAATTATAATAAATTATAAAGTTATTTATATAATAACTCGAACATCGAATACCCTTAGTTGTTATTTTCTTTGTAAAAACTTTTACCTTTTATATAGAATATCACAATGTGAATATTTACATTAATAATTCACTTTTCCATGTGTTTCTATGAATGTGATAGTGGCAGCAAAACTACTTTATTTAACTAGATGACAAGCTATATAAATAAAAAATATCAAGATCTTGAATTCTTGGACTGAGTGGTGGCTAACATTAGAGAAATTGCTATTGGAAATTAATTACTCTAAATTTTCCTTAACTTACCCCTCCTTGAAAATCGTGTACGAACGTTTGTAATTAGGAAAACATGAAGTCGAACAGATAGGCTTAATCGGAAAGTAAGTTATATATTATAATACTTTAACTAAATTAATCTTCTGTCAATTAGCTTTTTATATCCTCATCATGCTAAAAAATAGACAGAGTTGTTAAAATAGTGGTCTTTATAGTAAAAGTGATATATCCTAAAATATATTTGGTTATCATAAAGTTTGAAGTCATCTTTTATCTTCTTGACTTGAGGTAGTCTGCGGTTTTCGAAAGTTGTAATCTATAACACTTTCTCTAACTTTACCTCCACTCAGTCCAAGAATTTAATCTTTTGTTTATATAGCTTGTCATCTTGTTCCAATTTTTTAAAATAATTTTATAGTACATATTTAAATTTTTAAAATTGTGATAGTCTTTTTATTTGTAATATTATTTTCACCCTATTATTTTATTACAATTAAGTGGATTTGCTGTCACCTCACCATGATGGAAACACATATAACAAGCTAAAATGAAATAAATTTACTTAACATAAATATCTACGTTGTGATATTCTACATAAAAAGTAAAAGATTATATAAGGAAAATAATAAGTCATGTTTGAATATATTATAAAATAAGTAATCGCGATATATTATATAAAGGTAGTTCTATATTCCAATATTATTACTATATTTTTGTTATTATAATTTATTTTTGTTAAATATAAGTAATGATTTTATTAATGGATTTTTTATTGTAGAATAATTAAGGCTAGAAACGTTATATTATATTATAATTATTTAATATTAAATTGATGTTTCAAACGTTATAGACATTGATTTTGATTGAATATTAAATTGATGTTAATTTTGTGTATATTTCAAGATGATAATGATTATTTTTACCTTTTGTTTTATTTATCTTTCGAAAATAAAATCATCATTCTTCCTTAATTATTCAATACAATCGCAAGCAATTTATTCTATTATTCAATTTCTCCTTTTCGTCATAAAATAAATAATATTATTTTTTTAACATCTAAAAAATATTTCTATGAATTTGTTATCAAAAATTAATTTCGCCGTTGATTTGTTATTGCAAGTTATTCGTATGGTCAATTTGTTGTTTATAGATCTTGAATTTACGTTTGAATTTCACGGAGTCAGAGGGGAGAAAAATGTTGTAGATGTTAAAATAATATTTTTATATAAAATAATAATTTGAATGAATTTAAATTAATAATAATTAAAATAAATTAGAATAACAATTTTATATTAATAACACTAGAACGAAACCATTTATAAAATATAATGGGATTTATATTTCTACGTTGCTTATTTTATATAATAACATTCAAATTTAATTCTTTATTTTCCTTATATTAACTTACACTTTTTTTCTAAAGTCACAATGTAAATATCTATATTAATAAAATCTATTTTATTTTACATCCATGTCTTTAAATCAGTTTAATAATATTTCGTCTTGTTAAGTAGATCTTCATTGTTTCTAGATCAGGATTTAAAAAGTCATATCATATGATGGGCTAATATTTTTAAACATTCATTAAAGTAGGATATCCGTTTTTTGTTGTAAGTTAATTTTCGAAAAGGACATTAGCCCTGTTAGCGTAAAAATAAAATCCTTATTGATTTATTTAAATCCAAGCAATTTTGACCATTTAAGATGTAAAAATTTTATCAAAGGTAAAAATAATAAAAAAATTTAATCTTTAATATATATTTTTAGATTTTGACAGTAAATCTCCATATTGATTATTTTAATACAAGCAATTTTGACCATTTAAGAAGTAAAAATTTTATCAAAGGTTAACTAAATATATATTTTTATATTATGACACTAAGTCTTAATGCAAAATTCAATTCTATACATGAGTTAAACAATGCTATATCGATATATGAAAAAGAAAATTATTTTAACATATTCATAATTGAGATTTACTAAAGGAACCATATAGCAGTGAATTTATTGCTCAATATAAATATAGCTGAGATTATTTATGTAAATATGGAATCCCAGTCTAGAGGTATAAGAACCTCATCAAGCCTTTGCAAAGAATGTACCTTTATGTTCTCAGTCTTTCTTCAGCATGGTATATTAAATGAGTATTCTTTAGATATAGTCACATTTGTAAAAGATAATAAAAAAGGTTAGAAATATATATTTAATTTTTAACTAACATATGATTTATATATTCAAGATAAGTAAATATTTGAGATACTCCCCAAAGAAAGAAGGTTGTCATTTATTAAAAAACAAATTGTTGAGCAGGCTATCACTTTTAAAGCTGATAAGGTCAAGATTCAAGAATATGTATTTAATTTTGGTCAAATGTTGACTTTGAAGGACATTTATAATATTTCTGCAAAGTTAAACAAGCCATCAAATAATATATTACTTGATGTAGTAAATCAACTTAGGGAAGAAAATGTAGCTGTGGTTGATAATACTAGAAAAGGATAATGAATTAATGGGCATATACTTTCAAGATGCTAGCATGCTCCTATCATAAATTTTATATTGAGGTGATATTTATTGATGCAACCTACAATTAAAAAATCTAGGTATGCCTCTTTATAGCCAAGGCCAATCTCAGATTGGCTTTATGGCTTGTTAATGAGGAAACTTATTTTTTGTGTAAAAATATGTGTAATATTTTAGCAAAATGAGACAGACTTTCCTGATAGGCAAGCTCTTTATGAAAGTTTCCCAAGAGCCAACATTCATATGTATATTCCAAGTCATGAGAACGTTTAAAAGAGAAATCACAACATTTAAAAGAAATATAATCAATTAGGAAGTTGTAGTTTTAGGCATTTTACAAAACCTTGTATATGCTAAATCTGATGATCAATAACCTATATTCACAATTAAATCTACCCAATGTTATTAAGTATTATAATATCAATTGGCATCCATTCAAAAATGAGTGGGTTATTGGCTACTGATCATCTGCTCCTCATTTTTTTTTAATTCAACAAATAATTGTACTGAGTCGATTAACCAAAAATTTAAAATGGTTGTCACAAAATATTCAACCTTAAAAACCTTTTATGAAAATATATCAGCAATAATAAACTATGTCTTTTGAAAGCAAATATAATTCAAAAGGTTTCAACATTTTCATATCATTCTTAATCAGCAGAATATAAATACCATGGTCTTCTACATGCTTTTTAAAAAATACTAAAAGAGCTTGACCTTATTAGCTTTAAAAGTGATAGCCTGCTCAACAATTTGTTTTTTAATATGAGACAACCTTCTTTATTAGGGGAGCATCTCAAATATCTTCTCTTGAATATATAAATCATATGTTAGTTAAAAATTAAATATATATTTCTAATCTATATCATGGTTTTTATGATTATTTACTATTTACAAATGTGACTAATACTCATTTAGTATATCATGCTGAAGAAAGACTATAACATAAAGGTACATTCTTTGCGAAGACTTGATGAGGTTTATACCTCTAGACTGGGATTTTTTTTACAGTCCACATTTACATATAAAATAAACTCAGCTATATTTATATTGAGCAATAAATTCACTGCTATATGGTTCCTTTAGTAAGGCTGATTTATGGATAACTGTTAAAATAATTTTCTTTTTCATATATCAATATAGCATTGTTTAACTCATGTATAGAATTGAATTTTGCATTAAGACTTAGTGTCATAATATAAAAATGTTTATTAAATTTGATTATTAATTTTACCTTTGATAATATTTTTACTTCTTAAATGGTCAAAATTCCTTGGATTTAAATTAATCGAGTTTTATTTTGGTGCTAACAAGGCAAATATCCTCTGCCATTAATTTTTGCGAAATGCACTCTGAGCTTTATTTATTAATAATGTTCTATTTAAACATTCGCTATATTAATTAAGTATATTTTTGATTTGATATTATATTATTATTTTATTAAAATCATATACTTATATATTTAGATTCATTGGAAATTCTATGATCAATCCTCTCAACCACAGTCAATTATCAAATAAATATTTTAAACATATCGAATAATATTTTTTAATAAATAATTTAAATGAATTCATTCTATGTTTTACAAATCATATATGCTATATCATACTCCGCAATAAATGCTATTTGCTCTACAACTTAATAAATTAAATATTGTATATAGTTGTGTTGTTTAGGTAATATAAACAAAATACTGTACTATGAAACTTTTTAAGTTAACTTACTTAAATGAATCAATAGTATATAACTATCTTTCTAATATAAATAAGCACACTAAATAGATTAGTGATAAAATGATCTTTTTTGGAAATAATAATAGGTTTAAATCTATCTATGTATATTATTCTTGCCTTTTGATTGATGCTGAAATTGTAGGGCTGGATAAGGATAATATATAGGATTCAAAAAGTCATCCATTGGATTCCAATAAAATTGGTTTGATTTATTTAAATTAGGTAAATATGTATAGAGTCTAAGATTTAACAGTGTACCTTAGTTATTTATATTTAAACCTAAGGCATGTGATTTAGTTAAGTTGCTAGTCTACAAGTTTATCCTGAATGCCTTGGGCAAAAAAATTTTTTAAATTGGTAGACAACTTGTGTAATATATTTATAGGCCAGTCTGGAATTTATGAATTTAGTTATGCAAATTTATATATTTTTTCTTCATAAAAAAATTATAACAGGCTGAACAATTGTACAATAAGTTTTTTTTAAATTAGTAAATATATTGTTTCTTTATACAAAAACAATAGTTAATTTTAATTTATTTGTTAACTTATTTTACTTTCTGCAATTTGTATATTCTAGCAATGATAAAGAGAAAGGTGATAGGAAAATTATTTTTTCCCCATAATACCAATTAAAAAGCTATGATAAAAGCCTTCCTCGTTAATTCCAATTGTGCATCATATTTTAAATTAGGATTGGGATATGCAGAGACTGAAAAATTACAAAATTGTTATAACTAACAAAAAAAACTAATTCGAAACTGAAGTTTCAAGTGTTTAGAGTTAAATTTATATAGGTAATCTAATATAAAACAATATGACTATACCAATCCAATATTTCAATTTACCATCTAGCATTGAACAAAACTATTTTTAGACAAATAAAATAACTAATTGTACTAAACTATGAGGACAAACTTTGGATATTAATTTATGTAAAATATGTAACTTAACATAAAAAAAATAATATCTACTTTAAAAACAAATAAAATTTTTATTATAAATGGTTAAAATATTATGTACAAATATTTTTTAATTGGATTCCCTAAAAGGAACCATGCCATAGTAATATTTAAATATAACAATTTGCATTTTTCCCTGAAAGAAAAATTCTCAAATGTCTTGATTTTTCAGCATAAAAGTTTGTATGTTAAAAGGGAAAATAGTTTAGTTTTATATATTTTTTTATTTTCCTTGTTAGGAAGTGATTCGAATTTTAGTTAGATGAGATACAATTGAAGTCCCTAGATTTGCCTGATCACCATGGATTTTAGGCAATCCATCTGGTCTCAGACTATCCTCTGATTATAGATTACAGGTTCGAGAATGTTTAAATATTTGATCATTTTTTTTACCCCAGACCATAATAATTTTTCTCAAAAATTACTTTTTCTAAGCATTTTAGTAATATTGAAAATTGTGGTATTTTTGACCTTAGTCTTGTTTGGGCGACTTTTATAATGGTCTTTTTGTTCAGGATATTCATTTTTTGGATTCATAATTCTGCAATTCCAAATAAATTTTACAATTCCGTCTGATGAAAACATTATTGTCTAAAGACTTCCTTTTAACATTAAATAGAATACTCAAGGAGCCCAATTAACTGTACTATTCTTTTGGTAAACCTGATCAAATCGATAAAGATAGCAATTTATTGCTGTGGGAAAATTTATTCCTTTTTACTTTTAAGGTACTAAAGATCCCAGATAATATAATAAAAATTTTCAAAAATATAAAACAAGATCAATCTTTGACGAAACTCATATCAAAAAAATAAATAATATCAACTACAAAAGTTTTTTATAGGAAAGAGTTGTTATTTTAGCTGAATGTTGGAAATTAAATCTGTAGAAAAATGTTCCCAAAAAATAATCAAATTAATTATAAATGAAGGTCTCAAGCTATTAATTTATTTTTAAAAGACTAAATGGTTTTGGATCATCCGAATATATTTACATCGAACAATCTTTAAAATTTTATTGCTAATGGGGTTCTACCACTCATTAATTCCACTATTTTTTAAAACCAGACAAATTGCTTAAATATAAAAACTTATTACAATCTCGACTTTAATATGAGCTATTTGGATGAGAGATCTATACCTGGTCCATGGAAGCCTGACCCAAAATTTATTTTTTGCCAAGCCCAGGGTGGTTAAAATTTTAAGAAAAATAAGGAACGGCTCTTTTAAAATTTTACGAAAAATCAGTAACCCGTTAAATTATTGCAAAACAATTTTCTCAGGTGATTACATTTTTATTAACAAAATCCGTAATGTATAATTTAAATTTAGACGGCTCTTAAAAAATACAAAGAAAATACGCTACCTATAATTTAATTTCAAATAGTATTAAATATTAATCCAGCAAAATGTTCTTGAAATTCAAGAAAAAAAATTTATCATCACTTATTTCCCAGTTTTAATCTTGTCCTTCTTTACCCATTGCAGAACTCTACTAAACTACCATCTAGTTTGAGGTTAATTGCCTTTTTCCTTAAATTGAAACCGAATTAGTCGATTGCTTTAAGCCCCTCGAAACAACAATCAGAAATTTTTAGGGATGTGAACCCTCCTTCTAAAAAAATGGGTTTGGTGAAAAATCTCTGAACCCGGTTCAGGGTTCGGAGACCAGAAAAATAATGACTTATTAAAATTAGTTAAAATAACAGAAATATCCTTTTTTTAAAAAAAAAATTACTTTAATTAGTTTTGCCATTAAAATAATTTATCATCATAATTATAATATATTCATGATTTTCTACTTACCTTTGTTTTACTATCAATTTAATAATCCACAAACAACAATATCCTAAAATAGATATTATTAAATATTATCATCATTTATAAAAAATAAAAAAAAAACTTTCAAAATCTGCTTTGCTGTGTAAAATTTAAAAATTTTTACGAAAAATGCCCGACTTTTAAATATAACAAAAAATGATTCCACGAAAAAATGTTTTTTTAAAATTAATCATTTTTTTTGAATAAAAAAACAATTGTTTTAAATAGGAAATCTTTTATAAATGAAAATCGTAAATTATATGTTTTTTATAAGTTTAAAATATTAAAAAATAAATTTTGAAAAAAAGCCTGGACCATGAACACTAAATTTTTAAAAAGGGTTCGGCTTTGGGTTCAGCGAAATATCGAGAATTCGGGTTGAGGTTCTCATCCCTGGAAATTTTAAAAAAGCAAATGGCGTTTGCTGTTAAATATTTATTTTTAATAAACTATTATAAAAATAAGTATAAATAACAAAATATCCAATTTACAAAAAAAAATAAATTCCAAATTAAGCATGGTTATAGAACTTTAAGATATATAAGTTTTTTTTATATAATATATTTTTATATTAATATTATATCCGATATAATAAAATGTATAATATATTATTTAATGTATCCTATTTTCTATTCGTCGTTCTCTTCTAGTCCAATTAATGTGAGATTTCGTTTCGTTAGTAATCATTCTTCCACGTTTGGGAGCCATAAATTCTAATTTATAAAATGAAAAAAATAAATTACAAATAGACAAACTTAAAATATCTACTTTTATCTATACCGGAAATGAAAAACCCCCCAATTTATGAAAGAGATTTAAGGTTCGAATTAGGATAGACGCCATTATTTTAACTTTTACCCTCCATATCTCGCGAACCAATTGAGTCATAGCTTAAAAAATTAAACTGTATGGGTTTTCAAAACATATATAATCACCGGAAACTAAATTTCACGTTGAATGTTTAATATTTCTACTAATTATACAAATATTACAAGATGAAAATTGGTCGGTTACTTTTAATTTATTTTTATTTTACTTTTTACAACAAATATATTTATTATTTTTTTGTCTTACTTTAATTTCTTCTTTTTTAAAACATACACCAATTTTTCTTTTTCAATAACTTCTCTCAACCAAAAAAAATCAACAACAAATTTTCTCCCCAGAATTAATAACGAAAAATTTTTCCAAAAACCCGATAACTAACTTTTAATTATTTTTTTCTTCTTTTTATATTCACAATACAACTTAATAATAATAATATAATAATTATTTTTTTTTAACAAAACGATTGCGCAAAATAATATAATATTGAATTAAAATAATAATAATAATATACTGAAGTACACTAATCCTATTTAAAACAAATAACTACAATTAACTTCTTTTAATGACTATATTATAATTATACTATCAACTATATTATAATTTAATATCCCCAAACATCACAGAATGATCCAATTACTTATATCTTGACACTTTCGGACGCAAACATTTAATGTGAAATAAACTTAATTTAAAAAAAAGCTGTAGGTTGCATAAATTAGCAATTAGAACCAGGGCAAGGAACTTTAAGTCGTGGATGCCTTTAGGCAGGGTTGACAAGTCAGTCGTGAATTATCGCAAAATATAAATTATACAACTATCATTACCAAGTTCTATTTATTTTGAACCTTGGTTAACCAAAAATAAGCTTTTATATAAATATATCAGACCTGCAGGCCCTGCCCTAATACCGGGTACAAGGGTAGGACGGTATATTTTAATTTTTTAAAATATATCTGGCCAGGGCCTGACCGAACAAAAAAAAATTAGAACCAGGGCAAGGAACTTTAAGTCGTGGTGCCTTTAGGCAGGGTTGACAAGTCAGTCGTGAATTATCGCAAAATATAAATTATACAACTATCATTACCAAGTTCTATTTATTTTGAACGTTGGTAACCAAAAATAACCTTTTATATAAATATATCAGACCTGCAGGCCCTGCCCTAATACCGGGTACAAGGGCCGGACGGTATATTTTAATTTTTTAAAATATATCTGGCCCGGGCCTGACCGAGCTAAAAAAATTAGAACCAGGGCAAGGAACTTTAAGTCGTGGATGCCTTTAGGCAGGGTTGACAAGTCAGTCGTGAATTATCGCAAAATATAAATTATACAACTATCATTACCAAGTTCTATTTATTTTGAACGTTGGTAACCAAAAATAACCTTTTATATAAATATATCAGACCTGCAGGCCCTGCCCTAATACCGGGTACAAGGGCCGGACGGTATATTTTAATTTTTTAAAATATATCTGGCCCGGGCCTGACCGTGCTAAAAAAAATTAGAACCAGGGCAAGGAACTTTAAGTCGTGGATGCCTTTAGGCAGGATTAACAAGTCAGTCGATTGACCTAAGGAGTATTTGACCTGGTCTAATACTCTAAAATGTTATTGATGAAAGCATTTATCAATCTAATTTGGTTACAATCTATTTAAAAATATATTTGTCATCATGGCATCTTATAATTTTATATTAAAATATAAAAATAAAATAATAAAATAATTTTTCTCATTATTAATTTGCATTTTTCATTATTATTTTTTTTTACAATATGATATAAAACAATTATTCATTGTGAAATTTATATTATAAAATATAAATTATATTATATTGTGCAAGTAGATAATATTCTCAAAATCCTTTTTACACACATGCATTTTTTTAAATAGCTATTTATTTTTATTTTATATAAAGTAAATACAATATATTATATACTCAAAATATTATTTACTTTATTTATAAAAATATTAGTTTATTCTTAGAAATGCAATATATAATATATATCCTCAAACTATTATTTACTTCTATTTATATAAATATCATTAATATATTATATTCTAAAAATATTGGCTTTATCATGCATTTTTTATATACAAATTAAAATTATCACTACATTATATCATATTCTCATAATATTATTTACACAAGTATTTTATTTAGAATGAATAAAATTTGGCTGAAAAATGGTAAAATACCAAATAGATGAATTTTTGTATACACCAGGTCGAATATAATTTTAAAAAAATTCGGGCAGGGCCTAAAATTATAAAACCCGGGCTGGGCCGTAAAAATTTATTTAAAAAAAATCCGGGCTGGGCCTATAAATGATACCTCTGCAGGATTCTGATATATATATAAATCAATTTCTCAAAAAAATAATGTTTGGTGTCCCAAAAATAAACGCAAATTGTATTTTTATAATATTTATCATGTAGTAACATTCTTACCATTGAGGTGCAAGCACTAGCCAACATCATGTATTTGGGATTAAATTGGACGCATTGCACTGTCCCAGCATGATCACCTGTCAAAGTGGCCAACTTAGCCCCGTTTTCCGTCTTCCAAACATGAATCTTACCATCAGTCGAGCCTACGAAAAAAAATTAATATGTTACACAACTTCGTTTTAAATTAAATAGGCAACGAATTATAAAGTCGATTATAGGAATGCGTGATCTGACATTTTTAAAAATGATTGAGTTAAACTCTATAAATTGATAGAATTAAAATTAACGCTAACCAATTACGATCATCCTTTAAAATTAGCATTCCAATCCCAGACCAACTACATAATTTGAAACATCAATTTTTCCTAAACTAGGTGACTAACCATTATTAAAATTTGATACATATTATACACACAAACTAAAAAACAAACAATCTTGTTTACTAGTTTTTTTCACATAATTAACACGTGTAAACATGTTAGTTATAACTAGAACCATGTACTAACCAATCCGAGTTCAGTTTGAATAAAAAGTAAGATTGGTTGACCTCAGAAAGACATTTTCTTAGATTATATTTATTTTGAACCAGATCTGACCTTAAAAATTTTCTAACCTTATAGTTTTTTTATGGAAATTATTTTCAAGAATCATAAAATTGTTAATTATCATCATGCATTTATAATTTTAATGATTTCATAAAAATATGGTGGTTTTAAAATCCAAGAAAAAATATTACTAAAAAAATTTTGGATTGGGTAAGACTGAGAGAATCTTTGGATTAGATAAGCCATACCATTTTTTTATCAGATCAGACCTGAAAAAATAGTGGGTTATAGCTAAATTCACATAAAAATCCAATTGTGCATTTGTTAGCACAACAGGAATCAGTTGGGGCATTGAGAAATAGAAGAATACAATATATACAATAACAATTACAAACCAAAAGGAATCTCTTTATACAAAAACAGTCATTTTAAAAGAAAATAATTTAGATGTCAAATAAATTACATTATTATTATTTTTTAAAATACTTATTTCAAGATTATAAAATTTTAGATTTTTACATGTACAATAATAAAATAAATTATATAAATCAACAAATTAAGCCAAATTGAACCAACTTATTTGGGATAGATTCTAAATCAGTATAACAAAATTTGGAAATTTTGCTTATATCACATAAAAAAATTTTAAAAGTAGTAATATTGAAAATCAGGGTTGGCAAATCAGTTAATTGGAAAAAAAAAATTATAAATATGTTTGCAAATAGAAAAAACAATATAAATAGAAATACACATGATCACAATGATAAATATTTATTGGGTCCCCAATATCAAGGGGAGTCTCTTACTATTAGTGAATTTATAATAAAGAATGTGATGTAATACAATACAAGTATTACTATTAGAAAGTGGTCATGATCAAAATATTTCAAGTAAAATCATAAATTTAAGAAGTAAAAGTGGCATGTTTAATGGCAAATTATGTGGAAAGCAGTATATTCCATAAGAAACAATCAGGTTGAAATGGGCTTTGATCACCTTGCCCATTAAGAGGGGTGGCATTTTACTAACAATACCTAGTTCTACTTCTTCAGATTGGTAATTTAATATTCTTACCAAAACAGAAATCGATTGAAGATCTTAACAATAGGAAAATTGATTAAAAAATATTTAAGAAAATGAAAATATTGAATATGAATCAGAACAAGACTTTGCCACAGAAAGCAAAATATTAAATGACAATGAATTTAAAAAATATTATAGATTAATTTTACTATTATACCCAAAATAAGGTTAATATTGTCTTAAAAAACAAATATTTGAATAGTTAAATATAGAACCCTATTGAAAATAATATCTAGGTAGTAAACATTTGTATTTAAATTGAGTTTCTTTAAAAAAGGAGCTAAAAATGGTGGAAATTAACATCATTGTTCTCAGAATTGGAAACAACTTTTAGGATTTATTTTTTAAAGTATATAAATTAAATATTGCATAAGAAACAAATATTTCATCTTTATTTCAAATAAGTTTTCTAAATTATGAGTTTTAGATATATAAGAATGATCCACACAATTTAAAAAATGATTGTGGTTCATGCTGGTATAAGAATGTATTTTAAGTATTAGTTTTTTAAAAAAAAAACCTGATAATAAAAATTGAGCATCAGGGCTGAATGAGGCTTCTAATGGAATTCCTTTGTTATTGGTATGACCCTAGAATGTTATAAATTTAAAAAAAATTTAACCTATTTAAATTTTAGTGTTATAAAAATGACAAATATTTTTAATCTCTTTTTTATACTGATATATCAAAAAAATTGTGACATTATTTTATTATTAATATATATTTTTGAAAGATAATGTGTCTTGGAAATTAAAAATTTAATGCAAATTTAATTGATGCTTAAATATATAAATTTGAAAGATAATGTGTCTTGAGAAATTTTGATGCAAATTTAATTGATGCTTAAATATTGTTTTATTTAAGAATATCATGTGTACCGTAAAATTTTGTAATGGTGTGCCTTGAAAGGCATCCAAAAGCCTTATAACTTGGCCATTTGTAGAAATACATATAAATTTGCCATCTGGGCTAAATTTTAATCCAGTCCAATCACATTCTTTTTCTTGAGCCAGGCAAAATGTATTAAATGGGCCCTAATAAATGAGGAGAAAACATAAATAGCTAAATTATATAAATTACAATTTTAACTTTTTAAAATACAATATAAAAAGAAATTTGGTTAAATATAAATGAGTTATTTAAATTATGTAACTTTATCAAATGAACGCAAATCATATAATTTGATAGATTCTGAATTCATTCCAGCTGCAAAAATGAGACCTTCAGGATCAAATGCTGCTATTGGTCTTCCAGGCAAATGCATTAAACCCTGTATAATTATTAGCCTAAACATATAGCATATAAAAATGATATTACCTGACAAGATGGTGATCTTAGGTCCCAAAGTCTTATTGTTTTATCTAAAGAACCAGAGAGGAATGTGTCATCAATTGGCGACATTGATAAACATACAACTCTAATAATTTAATTTAACTATAAATAAAAAAAATTGTTTTAACTTTTTAGTATGTCCAGTAAAGTATCTGATGTATTTATTATCGTGCAAAGATAAATATCTGATTGTATCTATATTAAATGTGAGGTGATAAAAATATTAAAATTAAAAACCATCAATTTTTGTTGATCCATGAAGAGCAGCATTTGGGTGATGAGTACATGTAATTAAATCGACACCATATTTTTTACTGTGCAAAGTTCTTTTAATTCTAATTAAATATAATCATATTTTAAAGGATACATTAATATAGCTTACAGGCCATTCTGACAGTCATATATGATAATTGAATCATCGTCACTACTCGATATTAATATTTCTCCATTATTAGAAAAATTTAAACAATTAATTTTATCAGTATTTTCCTTAAAGACTTTAGCAGCCTTGAAATTGCACATAACATTTTCGGTTAGCTTCATCGCTTTTTATTCAAATCGAGAAGTAGGAATGTATGAAAATTCAATCCAAAATTATTATTTATAATTTAGTTTATACGATTGTAATTTTTTTTCATAATTAATAAAATAAATTAAATTAATTATTCTTCTAAACTGGTATTTTTTTGAGGTTTACCAATTATTATATATATTTGGGTTTTTATAAATTCAATTATAATATTTAATAATGTCAACCAACCTGATATCATAGTTATTCTTGTGTACAATCATGAGAGATAAGAGTTCTTAAGACTTAATTTTATCCTATTTTTTATTTTAATTTTTAATTTAATCCATAAATACGGATTATTTATGTATATTACTCCATTTTTGTGTCTGCTCGCTCAGTAAAATACTTAATTATAAGAAATAACACTATAAAAAATAAGATACCTATGATTATCAGGAGACACTTGCTAAAATGAGATCGTGTCACTAATTTTCATTTCCCCCCGACCCTCCTCCATATCTTTTCTTAAATTTCAGTAGTTTTGATTCCTTCTTTAAAAGTATCAGATTTGAATTTTTTTTCCCACAAAATGTTTTTAATGTTAATTAAAGTATTATATATCATAGGCGTAGCCAGAGGTGGAGGGCAAGGGGAAATTCTCTCCCTTCAGAAATTTATTACTTTTGTGAATATCATTTTAAGCTAATAAAAAATATCTCCCTTAGTCCTCCCCCCGCTCCCTGACCTCTAAAAATGTATTCATATATTTTAAACAATAATTTGAAAGAAAGAATGTAAATGTTGATATTTTTTATAAAACTATTCATCATAATTTATACATTTTTGGAAAAAAGCATTTATATATATAAAAAGGGAACCAAAAATATTTTTTAAGAAATGGAATATAAGCCAAAGATAAGTCTTAAGACAAAAGTGAAATGAATTATAATTATTAATATTAGATCCATAAAATTACTAAATAATATAATATATCAAATATATTTTTTTATAAAGTGAGTAATATTTATCGTAATAAAATTAGAATATAATTATAAAACTATTGATAAAATTAAATCAGAAATTAAATAAAAAAATTAAAGCACAATACAAACAATGGAATTTTATATGTCGTAGATTTACAGTATATCTATTTATCAATATATGACAATCAAGTAATTATTAACAATATAGCGAATTATATATTTTACAGAAAAATATTGATAAGGACATCAGAAAATAACTTTTAAAGACATTGTGGGATGAATAATATGTAGATTAATTTTTAATATCATATTCTATTTAAAATAAATAGATGGCGTTAAATAATTGAATGCAAATTGTTGCTACAATTATTATCAAGAGAATTGATTAGTAAAATTTGTAAAAACTGTAATATATTCTCTAGCTGTCAAATATTTCTGTAAAAATGGAATTTTACCTAGTATTTTGTAACCAATTCTATATAATAGAGGAATATCAACTATATTTCTACTTACTTTTTATAAATAAATTTCTTATACCTGTTTGGAATAAATTATTGGTTTTATATTAATGTATATACAAGTAATTTATTATATTTTATATAAACTAATAAAAATAAATTTCTCTAGGCTTATTTTTTTTATTAAAATTAACCTCCTATCTTGTAAAAATATTTTATGACTATATATAGACTAAGGTAAGCCTGCCGAAGGCCCAGCATAAGCGGGCCGAAAGCCCGCCCAAAATGTAGTCTGGGGGCGAAGCCCCCAGTAATTAGATAATTCCCCTCCCTATTAGGAAAATCCTGGCTACGCCTGTTATATATAATATATAAATTTTATACAGCATCTACATGAGAGAGGGGTTAGAATCAATATGCATCCATTTCTATGAGGAAAGGGTGTAGGTATAGGATCAAAAATATGCTAAAAAAACACATTATTTATGGATTAAAGATAAAAAATAACTTATAAAATTTAAAATTTTATTAATAGATATTTATTGTGATTTTAATGGTTAATTAAATTTTAAATAATTTATTCACAGATAAAATTTGGTACAGTATAATTTATACAAGCTCATAGCAAAATTTTAGAATAAGTTTAGTTATAACTATTTGATTGGTTATTACCAACAAATATTTATTTGTTATTCCTAGCCTAAATTAAAAGAGTTTTAATAATATTTTGTTGGGAGTAAATGGTGGTTCATTATAAGATCTTCTTATTAATATCATGGTTTTGTTATAAAGATTATGCGAATTATGCTGACGAAGACTATATTTTTTTTAGATTGTTAAGGATGGTTTTTGGGAGAAACCATACCAACAATAAAATTTTAGTAGACACTGTTTGCATATATTAATATATATTACAGGCTTGGGAGTAACGTAAAAATATAAATACAGATTTATATTTATTTGAATATTTTGGGATATGTTTGGTATTTTTAAATATTATATAAAATAATAAAAAGTATTTAGTATTTCTAACGATATTTTTAATTCAATACAAATAAATACAAAAACTTTTACTATTTACTATTTTCTATTTATAAATTTAATTTTAATTATAAATCAACATTTATTAATTCAAACATTAAATTATTATCCCGAGATGGTGAAAAAAATAATATCTCATCTCATCCGATTTATAATATATGAAAATATTGATTCCACCATTTCGGCCATGTTTTTAGGTTTTATATTTATTATAGTATCAGCGAAATGGAGAATATAGATTGGGCTGAGTTTTTTTATTATTAATCTATTATATTTATATAAGGAAATCTGTTATAACCTCAACATCCTCTTCTAATTGTAATTTAACCATCTTAGATGGTAATTTTTTTAGAATCAGCAGTATAATAAATTAATATAGTGAAAGCTAAATGTAATTTATGCTTAACTAAAAATAACACTAAATTAAATTTTCTTAGAGATCTTTAGGTTCACTTGCCTTAGGCCTTTGGCTATATTAAACTATAAAATTAATTTTGGGCTCTCAATTATTTTTTTGTTAAAATTTATTTTTCTATAAACTTTGAATTATAGTCATTATTTAGAAAGGTTATTAATTTTTACTAATTTTTCTTTCAAGAAGGGTTAGTTTTGATCAATTTTTTTGACCAAAAACCCGTCCAAGCAATTTAACCACACTAGCTTGATATATGGAAAAATATTTAAAAGCTTTCATTAAATTTTTTTAAAATAATTATCACAACTTAACGCAGAATATGGGGAGCCCGAGATAGGTTGCCATAAGGATTAGCTGGTCACTCTCTCTAATTTTTTATATATTGGATTATTTTTTACCAAAAATTTATCAAAATGTATTTTTTTACCTTGTATCTTACACGTGTTCATTTATTCTATTGTTTATCCAATACAAAAAAGAATTTTAAAAAAATATGTTTTATCCTGTTGAAATAATATCGTCCTACATTTTATAGCATATAATTTACCTATTTATTTTCTGATATTTTATATAGATATCACTAAACTTTAAACAACATATCATATCAGTAAATATTCAAATAGTGTAACCCATGACCGGGAAAAAAATATATACAAAAAAGATCGGAGTTTTAAATGTTTTATTGAGGAATTAAATTATTAGGGGTAGTATTGTGAAATGATTCAATTAGAGCCGATTTTTAAAAAAAACACTAAATATTTTAGCTAGAAAAATATTGTCTAAGCCTCGAGATTTAGCAAATAGATGTCTAAACCTTTGTGCCATCCATGAGGAAAATTTTCAGGCTTACATGATATTTTTCTGGACAAAATTTTGAGTAAACCGTTTAACAACACCAATTAGAGGTTAAGTAGCCATAATAATCGTAATGTAAAATCTTATTAACTCAAGATTATAAATAACTATTTTAATATTTATAGATCAGATTCCTGATAAAAATAGCAGTTTGGGTTTGGATAATTTTATCATTATATTATATATCGTTATACTATATCAATTATAAACTATGGCTAGTCAACACCGGATATAGATATGTTTGGGTTACCTTATAATTTATATTTCATTAAAAGTTATATCAGTTACGAGGAAAAAAACATGGCCAATAATCCCCTTGCTTATAAAAGTCAAAAAGTAAAACTTATTTGGGAGTAAATAGCGTTTATATTGCCCAAACTCCGTTTTATGATAATATCGAATCGATGCATCTCCAGGTATTGAACCTGAACTTCATCCAGTTAACATCGAAATAGTTTCACATATGATACTATTAACACAGATGACAAAGTAGTTTTCAACAATTATAGATGATATCTCATTCTTATTTCAAAATCTTTAATTCAGTTCAAAAATAAATATTTTTTGAAAAAATTATTCTTGAGGATTAAATAATAATAGCATGGTCAACATTTGTTCTAGAATTTCTTTGAAAATAATTAATTCGGCCCAAAACAGAGTGGTTGAAATATTGGAGTAAATTATAATAGCAGACCAATTCAAAATAAACTTGAGCCGACTCATGTGGCTAATTGACCGCTCAACGTGTAATATTTTAATTAAAGAGGTGGAAAATAGTTTTCAACGACATGTTTTTCAAGATATATAAAATTTATTAAATGAACCCGGTACACTCTTGATATTCCATAACAACGGTTCTGCCTAAACATTTTTTTTAAAACCCCATATTTTAATTGGTACTAAAAAATAAAATTATGTTTTATAAATCATATATCCTAGAATAAAATTTCAAATAACAATCAATAACATACAGATACATATAATATATTTAATAAACTTTTATATCATTATATTCACATTATTATTTAATTAAAATATCATTTTATCCTTTGGTATAAATAAAACAAAAAGATTAAAAAATATCGTCTGCTTTTTAAAAATATTTTATTCATGTCAGATTGGATACACTGCAATCACTGTTCAAGACAGCCTGAAAAGGGTATTATATGTTTAATACATTGTATAATTTGTAGTTATTTACACGTAACCCTTGAGTGTTATTCTGGGGTATAGCAAAACCCCTATTTAAATTGGTTTAGTATTACAAAAAATATGATTTATATATTATCACCAAGTTTTTCAATAGCCTTATATTTTAT